CAGTGCCGTGACACGAAAACACCTCACGACACCTCATCTGTGATCACAAAATCTAGTCCTGCCGGATCCAGGATTTAAATTTTGTACAGCCGCGTTTATTATCAGATGGCGCACAAACACGAATTTACTGATAATTTTTCTGTACATATCTTTATCATCGTGCGGTGGTAACCAAACTGTTCTCGCCGTCCTGTACGAAATTATCACAGGAGTTACAGTCAGTGGTATAAGGATCTTGGCATCAAACATATATCGTAATAGCACTATTGGAGCTTAGCCACTCTGCTTTTTACGTAACAGTCGTTGAGATTTACACTGGTATTTGGCGCGTTTAAATGACGACCAAACCAGGCAGGTACAACCAGATGAATACTAGCTGAGATCTCGAATGATTCAATCTCGCCAAATCCAATCAGATTGTAATATAGAGGTATTGGGCCGTTTAGTGCTATTGTGGTCTGTTCGTGTGTTGAATGAGCGAATCGTTCAAAATGCGGTTGACATTCGCCGTATGCAAGAAAACTAGCCGGGTGAAAAATAACAATGTCAGCTGAGATTATATCAGCGGAATTAATTTTAATGCTCCAGAGACCACCATGTCCGAACTCAACACAACATTGCCTTATATTGTTGAGACATTCTTTTCGAGTTAAACACATTAAATATTGTTGTCGTTCGATATGAACCATAACAGACAATGTGGTAAACAGTAACTGCGTAATTCATTGCTGTCACGTTCATATTTTACCGTAATTTCTTTCGTTGGAGAGACTATTTCCAATAAAGTATATACCAGACGGTGGTACAAACTGATCAAATGTTGATTCGTCTATAGCAGATGTAACTGTGGCCGTGAGATAGCCAGACAGGTACATTAGCACGAGCTAATATTATAAATTTCCTCAAAACTAACGTATTGTTCTTTTCAGAGAAAACTTTGTTACTGACTCAGTCCAGCAGACCAGGCGTGACTGTTATGATCAACTATCGCAAATGGGGCGCCTTTCCTACGGTATTTGCCGAAATTATACAAAATCTCGTTCGCAGTTGTTTTTGGAAACTTCATTGTTTTCAAACACTGCTGCGTCATTTATTTTAACTCCGTTTGTAAGGGTTTTCCCACTCGTATATTTTTTGTTAGTGATTCTGTATGTCCGTTTTCACTTCTCAAATTAATGACACAAGGAGCCACACAATTTAACGTGCCTGTTCTCATTGGGTTGCGAACACTAATATAATGATCGTTTAAATAGTGCAGTGCATAAACAACAGTGGATACTGGATAATCGCTATTGTAATATATAGTCTGTCTATTCCAGCAAACGTGCCTGGTTTGGAGTTTTATTTATTGTGACAACACTGTTATGTCATCTTGATAACTTAACAGGGTCTAGTTTATTACGAATAACCCAAGTTGGGCCATCTTGGCTGACATTTTCGACAATATTTGTTTCAAATATGTACTTACTGTCATCCAAAAGATTGTTAATAATTATCACTGCACTTCTGTCGTTCTTTGTTGAGTCAACGAAAATACCACCGCCTTCTATTTCAAACGTTGAAAAAACATGACAAGTACCATCTTTATTAAATTCATTTCGGCCATTTTGATATATTCGTTTAATTGCCAGTGAAATGGTGGTAATTTTTTGTATTTGGTTAATCTGTCAAAGTCAAATATTGTCGTGTGTTCTGGTTCAATCTCCGATAATCTTTTTCTTTCTCGTTCAAAAAATTTGTCTCTGCTTTTCTTTGGTTCTCTCTTTGATATTCTCTCAATTTCATTCGCGGTTAATAATTTGTTAATCTGAATTCGTACATTTTTGGTGCGATTTTCAACCATGGTAAAGCTCGTTTTTATCCCGGTTAGACTAAAATGCATTTTTCGCAGCTGGTTTGCAGTAGAATTAGTGATTCTTATATATATATATATATATATATATATATATATATATATATATATATATATATATATATATATATATATATATATATATATATATATATAAAGAAAGAAAAGTGATTTCTTCAATTAAACTTCATCAAATAATATAATATTGAAATAAAAAATCAATAATGCGCATTTAGTTTAAGCAATTTGTAGGTTTGTGTGATTACATGTTTGATTATTGGAATTCAGTGCAATGGGAAATATTTCTTAGCGCGAAATAATCAGTCAATTATTAGGAGCTAAAATAACGGAGAAAGTGTTAGTGAGTTTCTAAGATGCCATGGCCAATGAGTAGCGAACTCAGACCAAATCCACACAACTGTCCCTGTCGTGATATAGCACTTTATAAAAACTAATAGTGTACATTGGTATTGTGACTGCAGCGGCAGTTTTTATGGTAGGAAACCGGTAAATTACACAATGGGATAAATGAGAAAGGACTGGAAATATACCGTTTATGTTGCCATAGTGGCAAATGTGATGTAGGTTTACAGGTGTGATGTGCGTTGAAACGGCAGATCGACTGGTCTCAGATGGGCAGTTAAAATAGTCCCCCGTTTTAGGGAAAGTTGTACAGTTTCTACGGTGTGAATTACTAGCGGAACAAAAAGTTAATGTAGAGAGAGACTGTGAGGATGTGTGGTTGATGGCTTATTGGCAAGTTGTAAATAATGTGTTCTTTTATTGATTATTGTAAAATTTATGTATATAATGAACACGTCGGGCTTTTCAACTTACAACTGAAGTCTTTGGAAATATGGGGTAAACTTATGACTTCTAGCGGATTCGAGCCATGGTTTTGACACCGCTCGGTCAAGCAAAAGATCCCTGTCTTGTAACAATATGACAGCAGCAAAAATATTTGTCAATTGCTTAAGATCAGATCAGACACACCTTGTAAAAAGTTGCCGTGGCGAGTACTGTGGTTATCACATGGCCAATGTACATCGTGGCAGTACTGGAGTACAACCATGTTTTAATGTAAAGTTGTGATCAAGGGGAAAACAATTATGTGTATCTTGTGGTTGATAAAAATATCGAGCACTTTAACGATATTATAGGAACAAAACGTTTCTGATGATGTAAGAGTAAATGACGCAAACTATTATCTCGACAGACATTCCTCTTCTGAAAAATAATGTTATATCAAAGGAGAAATTTAGATATAGAGCAAGCTGAAAAATATTGATCTCGATGAATTTAGATGTCATCCAGTATTCGTTAATAGCGAAGCGAGCAGAGTTGGTGTCGTACGAAATAAATTATTGAAAAACAAACGATCGGTAAAATTAATAATTGAAGATACTTTATGATCGGAATCAAAATACCAGGCAGCAAAATATTTAAAATAGTAGTATTTACAGAGATTTGTATACGAGTGTTTCAACGGCGTTATCAATGATGGGTTAGTTATTTATCACGTGAACTCAGACAGAAAATATTTTTTTTTAAACTTCAGTGAATTGCCGGAATTTCAATTCAACACACATTTGACATTACCCGGGCGGTGTATCAAGCCGGCTAATAATACCTGTGATAAATCGATTGCTGATAATAGCACGCTGGGTTTCTCAGGCTCGGCAAAATTAATACCTGTTATGGTAGTAGAACTGACATGCTTAGATACCTAAGAAATTTTCTGTTAATTACGTGTATACTATTAATATTTTTATTTGTCTGTCGGTTATTAAGTGCGAATGTATTCTCTGCGACTCGCCGTAACAATACTGCTGGTATAAGCAGCATAAAGGTAAGTAACTTGTGCAATATTTTCATGCAAATATTACTGTCCCAAAGTATGAAGATGTTAGGAAATAGTACTTTATGTAGAGTTGTGAATAAGGTAATCATATCGCAAATGACATATTGTCGGAGTTTTAAATGAAAGTGGGACTGCGCCCCAAAAGCGCCAAAGTCAACAAGAAAACGGACTGATCACAAATAAGGTCATCAGATCACCCCCTTCAAGATCAACGTTTACTTTTGGGTAAATGTAGCATTGATTGTGGCATATCCCTCCCCAGTTGGTCGTTCCTATCTTTCTTTCCCCCCCTCGTCTTCTGGTGCTGATTATTTCACAGACGTATATATGCCATATGTATATATGGGTTTAGGAGTATTTTTGGCTTCGCTTAGATTATTGGAGTGGGGGTGAGGGGTGCAGGTGCATTACGTCACAGCAACATTAGTAATTATTTAATGCCGAGAAGAGTACTTTGCCCAATGATACACCAAGGTGGCTGATCAAGGCTTGTTCAAACAAGATGATGTGAAAAGCCGCACAATGCTTCAGAGAGTTTCACTAATTAATTATTTTTGTAACCACAGATGTTAATTCTGTTTGGGAAAATTTGATCATTCAGTGTCGAAAATTTGTTAATTTATCCGTCTTCCCCTATCATTCAGCCTATGTAATTCATTGATTGATAGGAATTCCGCTAAATTTGTTTTAGCTTAAACCTTATAAATACTATTTATTTCTATGGGACGCTAAATAAAATTGACGAAAGAAACAGAGGTAGGGATGAATGTATTTAAAAACTCTATATTCTTCTTTTTAAATAATAGTTGTAAGCTCTTGGATGATTTCACCATGCGACATTAAGCTTAACTGATGTAAATGTGCTCCATGATATAGTAAGTGTAATTCGTCCTTATATTTGTAAGACTGTAAAAATATATTTTCCATGTTCTTGCTTTAAAGGCGTAATCATGTTTCTGAGAGAGAGAGAGAGAGAGAGAGAGAGAGAGAGAGAGAGAGAGAGAGAGAGAGAGAGAGAGAGAGAGAGAGAGAGAGAGAGAGATTTGCGAACACCTGGTGTGTGAGTGTGTTTGATTTAGATTTTTAACGTGGCTTTAAAAAACGTTAATCATATCGCTACGATGTTTGAAGTGTGACAGTTTATTGTGATCTCTAGCACTGGGGCATCATGCCGCAGACATGTGGCATGATATCCCATCCAGTCTCATTATTGTGACACCAGGCCGACCAGTCCCAACACTAACCTCTTAGTGCTGAGCGCCATTTTTTTTATTAAAGACTTTGGTATGTCTCGGCCGGGGTTTGAACCCGCGACCTACCACATCCGAGGCGGACGCTCTAGCCACTAGGCCACAGGAGCGGGCACCTGGAGCGTTGAGCTGACCGTTGAATATTCCTTTTTATTTAACCTTTAATGTCTTAATCCATTTACTAAAACTGGAATGAGCGCAGCTCTACAAAGATCAATTATACAAGGTGGATATATACTGCAATCAATACAAATATTTCGTTTCTAAATAAAGTACGTAAAATATATTTGCAATGAAACCTGTTATTTGAATACATGATAAGTTAATACATGAATAGCACTAAATTTGCATCACCTTTTTTATCTTTTTCAATAACCAAATATGAAATGTTATCCAAAACTTGACAAACTTTAATTGAAATGTTGTTGTTGGGCTTAACTCTATTTTTCAGCACACGATACATGACGGCCAGTATTATTGGTGGAGGAAGAAGCCGGGAAATTCGCGGGAAGAACCACCGACCCACTGGCAAGCTTTCTCACATATCTACATTCGCCAAATCGTAGACTTGAACCCACGCAGACAGAGGTATGATGGCAGTGATCCGTAACGAAAAGAGCTTTAGACCACTCGGCCACTCAGAGCCCCTATTGAAAAGTAATTGTTGGGGTCCAAAGTTTTCGTTAAGAATTAGCATAATATGCAGACTTCAAACTCAGCTTACCAAGACAGATTGTTATTTTTCAAAATTTAATTCGCGAAAACTATTACTCGACTTTTGAATCGTTGCTTCCATTATTTTCCACAATAAGGTCCAGCTTATCACAACATATTTTAAGCTCCGTGCAAATTGTACCCTCATAATAGCTTGCTAGATCATTATGGAGAGTGTTATATAGTATATTTAAGTCAAATCTGTGCTTAACAATATACTCCACAGCCAATACGCCTCAAGGTGTCTTTTGACCCTGGCTGGATGCATGTCGAATTTAATAACTCCTTATCGGACAACCTACTGAATTAGTTGAATTAATTTTTACAATTTGACAACATAGATGGTGTTTCATTAAAGTCTTCCATATATATATATATATATATATATATATATATATATATATATATATATATATATATATATATATATATATATATATATATATATATATATATATATATAATTGCAATATTTTAAAATCCTTGGTTTTAAATAAGTTTCTTTTCATCTCTCTCTCCCAATCCCCATCCCCCCTCTCCCTCTCTCTCTCTCTCTCTCTCTCTCTCTCTCTCTCTCTCTCTCTCTCTCTCTCTCTCTCTCTCTCTCTCTCTCTCTCTCTTAAATATTTGACATTATATGATAATTATTAAAACGACATGATTTGGATTTGTAAAAAAATATTATTAAACATAAATAAAACATTCCATTATTCGTCTTTCGATATAAATAAAGAAACTATTCCCTTTTTCGAAATCTTACTCTTGCACAAAATATTAACAAAATGTTACGCCATCAAAATATTACACAATAAATTATTTGTTTACTGCTTAAAAGATAACGTTCATAAAAAAGAAGCTAACACGCACGTTCATATTATTCCAGCTATATTACATTAGTTCCAACTAGTTTCAAAGTCAGTATAATAGTTGTTTGCATTTGTATTTAACATTAATTTATAAAGATATATTTGTAGACTTTGTTTACATACTGAAAAAAAGAAGCAATAATACTAGAATATAAAACGAAGACTCAGATACATTGCAGTGGATATCGATATTTACTAAACATTTCGTCTATTTATTTGACAGAAAACCTTTTGTTCAGATTAGTACCTAATTGTGTGCTATTATTCCCACAACTGTAAAGGAAATAACATCATACCTGAAAATAATATATTAGATAACGTCAAAACAACATAAGGAACCAACAACAGTCAACGAAAAGAAATGCAAGAATAATATCGATAATTCAGAGCAAGCGGGACACGAGAATATTTGGATTTAACAGAATTGTTACAATATTTCCCATTTTTATAAGCATTTCAATTTAAGTAGTTTTCATTTTTCTTGTGCCTACAATTTTTAACAATTTGAAGCCATGTGCTAATACTGAAACCACAATAAATATGTGGCTGTCATGTCTGGCCTGCTTCGCCGGTACATAAATCCAAACCTTCGTATTAGAACGTTAACCAAAGAAAAAAGTATTACAAAAGTATTATTAAAAGGTAAAATTAATTTTTACCAGACACCTGTATGCGGAATCAAGTTCAGTCCTCAAATAAAGTGTGTTATTTCCATACAGACAGTAGTGACTATGAAATTGTATCCTTATTGCTGTTGTTTCGAGTTTAATGAATTTTCTCAGAGCAAAATAGGCTATATCTGGCAGATGAAGAACTCCAGTAACAACCACCGAGCCAAAAGAAGCTATTGGCAAGCTTTTTGATATACCTACATTGACCTAGCCTAAGACTAGAACCCACGCGTTTAGATGAGTTGGCCATGATCAGTAAAGGCCAGTGTTAGACCACCCGGCTACTCGGGCTCCCTATGAGATTTGTCTATATTGTTTTGTTTTTGTTTTGTTTTTGTTTTTTGTTGTTTTTTTTTAATATGGATTATCACAAATGTGATAACGTGCAGTTCAAATAATCCGCCGACCACAGTTCTGATGTATTTCGAAAAGTAATTATCAATGATTACAGTCATTACATAACTATAACAACTATATGTTAAAAGATGTCCCTTGCTCTCGTATTGCCGCTATTTGTACCCCACCTCTTGCTGATAGACATTTGGAATATTTAATTTCTCACGGCACTATTAAAAAAACTGTCTGACTTAAAAAGAATGCCCAAAAGCAGAAAAGAGTTATTTGAAGCAAATTATTGTTACTTTTGTTTAACCTTCCGCAATTTTCTTTCAAACTGCCAATTGTTCTCTCTCTCTCTCTCTCTCTCTCTCTCTCTCTCTCTCTCTCTCTCTCTCTCTCTCTCTCTCTCTCTCTCTCTCTCTCTCTCTCTCTCTCTCTCTCTCTCCGTTACGGATCACTGCCATCCCACCTCCATCTGCGTGGGTTCTAGTCTCGGATTCGGCTTAGTAGCTTAAGAGGGTCGGTGGTTCTTTCCTAGATTTTTCCGGGTTCTTCCTCCACCATTAATACTAGCCGCCATTTATAGCCTATCATGTGCTGAAAATGGCATTAAACCCCACATAGTCATCGGAAATAATTTTAATATTGCCTTTAACTGCCAACAACTAATTTTTGCCTGTTTTTAAAATGATTATAGGTCCCCTTTCAAATGCATCAAACCTTATTATTTGACGAAAACTACTGACAGTTTCTCTTTAGCCGTGCCATTCTTATCGGCAGATCTTTGAATTAGATAATAAAAGTGTCTAGTGATAGCAGTAAGAATATTCAAAAGCACTCGACACTGGGTAAAAAATAATTGTTACTTACCGAGATAAATCGGAGTTATTGTTTACGCTTCAGTACATCAAGAAATTAAGCCAAATAACGGACGAGTTTGATTGGAGGACTTAACCCTGAGGAGACGTGGCTAATATGAGTTTCCAGCTCAAAACAAGCCTCGAAGAGGCGTGGCTAGGGTAGCAAGCTTCAATGTCAATATTGGATAGTTTTCAGACAATATACTCACTGAGATTTAAGGCTGCAAAAAGAAACAATGACGACAATAAAGGTGTAATTTCGCTGAAAAGGTTTTGCTAACATAACAGACTCAGCAAGTGACATAACAAAAGTGAGACAGAACAAGAGCTCATTTCATTTTTATAGTTTATATTATCTTGATAATTTGTTACTGCGTGGTCTATTATTTTCATTTGGACTCAAAAGTGAAAGCAAGCAAGAGGCTTTTTATTCAACAGGGATTTCAGCATATTGTCATTTAAAGACAAGTACTATCAATATTTAGGAGTTTTCTATTCAAAACGAAAAATATTCGGGCAATACATGTGTGTTAAATAACACCACGTGCGATCTTTCCTTTCTAGCGCTTCGACTTTTGACAATAAGAGAAAGTGGATTGATGAGTATTACAAATAAAATCTAGTCCAATACCGATGCAGACGACATTCTTTTTTTCTGCTTGCATGGCGCGGAGACATTTTTGGTTAGGATCTTTCGTACAGAATTTTGGAGAAAAGGCTTTCGAATACATTTGTAGGAAACATTGCAAACGATTCTGATTTGAGATCTACCGTTTCGAATGATGTGTATAACCAAATTAGCTATAACATATTAAAGGGGAGCTCATTAAGTTCTTGCTTCTACTTCAAAGTAGACAATAAGACTGGATCACTGTACACATCCAGTGTCATCGACAGGGAGAGTCTAGCGGACTGCACCTTCTTTTTAAAATGTTTTATGAAAATTAAAGTCGCTGCACAGTCAGTGATCACTGCATACTTTAAAAAGGTTTGACGTATCTATCGAAATTGAAGATCTTAATGACAACTGTCCAAGGTTTCCTAAAGAAAGTATTGACCTTGAATTATCAGAATTTATGCCTTTAGGGTCATCAGTACCCCTAATTAGAGCAGTAGATATCGACATCATTCCAAGCACCTCTCCCTTTGATGCATATTTCCAAAATTATGTGGATGGTACATCACTGGCAAAGTTCTTCGTGCGTCGATAGCTGGACCGGGAGACTGACGAATCTTACACGTGGACTGTTGTGGCGGAAGACCATGGCATGCCGCCAATGTCTGACAATCTCACCGTCAATATAATCAGTACTGACGTCAATGATAACGCCCCGCATTTCACTAAGCCTGTGTACAACATTACATTTGAAGAGAACGCCACGATAGGCACACTTCTAGTGAAACTGGAAGCAATATATTCTGATATGGGACAAAATGGAGAAGTCATCTATCATTTAAGCCATCGCCAAGTAAAAATCTGTCCACAGCTTGTAGAATTATTCGGTGTTGACGAAAACAGCGGAGAACACAGGCTAAAAGCGGCCAATTGCTTTCGACCCTCTTGCAACTAAATATGAGTTGATCGTGGAAGCCAGAGACAAAGGCGTACAACCACATTTGTCACAGGATCTTGTTGAAATTAACGTCAAAGATTTCAACA